AAAAAAAAAAAAAAAAAAAAAAAAATTCCTCATCAAAGTACTTGTACCAGTATGCGTTTACCAGATGACTGCTACCATCATTATATACATCATGTGGCGCTTTTAAAAATAATATTAAAATAATCTCCACTTACATTCACTAAAACATATTTTTGAAAATATTCTATTTTTCTTATTAGATTGTTGGTTCCTGATTTCTAAGCTATATGCTGTAAGGGAGGTTTACAGAGAGGTTTAGTTCACAATGATTAAAAGCATGAACAAATAGACTGAATCTACTGAAGAACTGTCCAATGAATATTAACTTCTGATATTTTATATAAATGTAAATAATACATTACACTCAGCACATTCATAGGTATTATTTTATTTAATCTTAGAAAATTCCTGTGACAGATATAAGAGACACATTACTCAAAATTTACAGAATATAAAGGAATAATTGCAGATGAATATGAAAAATCATCTCTCTATTTAGAGGGCTTTAAGGTAACAGAATTTCGAGACCAGAAAGACAAAGAAGGAGGGAGTGGTGGAGGAAAGGAAGAGCAGAGCGAGAGAAGAAGGGGGGGGGTGGGGTCTTGGTGTGTGCCACACCTTTTGGGGGCAAGACACGATTGTAAAAGGGACTTTACCTAACAAATGCAATCAGTGTAACCTGGTTTCTTGTACCCTCAATGAATCCCCAACAATAAAAAAAAAAAATAACAGAATTTCTATCATATAGTCTTTGAATAAGGTGTAGTTCAATCCATTGGATTGAATTCCAGAATGGCTTACATACTTCAGAATGTGCTTACCTTCCAGATGTCTTCAACAAGACACACTGTTTACAGAATAGCTGAAAACATTTAAATTTGCAGAGAAAACCTATGCAATTTTGCTAAGTCATCTATGATTTAATTTTGCAATTCCTCCAGGGAGTTCAGTCTCTTGGCTTCAATTATAGAACTGTACATTATCATCTACTTTTCTTTTCCCCTATGGCCTCATATAATTTAGTTTCCAACTTGAAAATATGGCTCGCTGATGTTTAAGATAAAAAGAAAGTTCTGTCACATTCTTGATGAATAATATAAATTCCCAAGAAGATGGCAGAATAGGAGGGCACCCTCTTGTGTCATCCCACAAGAACTCTGCCCCTTCCAAAGACAAACGTCTCTCTGTGTGAGCCGTGGGATTCAGGTAGGACATTGTGAGACCCCAGTAAAGTCCGGAACATAAAAGGATCATGTTGGGACTGTGATATTTCTCTGTCACTTAGACTCCTGTTGCTCAGATGAGCACTTGGTTGAAGTTGGATCAGTTGCCATTGCCCCCTCATTGAGCTTGGTCTGCTTTATCTCCATTTCACTCTCATATGTCCATATCTTCTCTTCACAGATCCAGTTCCTTCTGGTTTTGACCTGCTGGTATCTATATTCAATATCTATAATATGGCAGCTATCCTAACCCTGAAACTTATTATCTATAACCTGAGGAATGAGGACATGAAGGCTGCTATGATAACATATTTCAAGATTACACTTTTTTGTCCTGTCACCTGCTGGTTTTACCAACACCTACAGAAATCCA